CCTGGGCGCCCCAGCCCCGACAGCCGGCCCGAGCAGTCCCATGGCAGGTAGGTGCCCCCCGCCCCACCCTCGCCCCCAGCGCCGCGCCCGGGCCCCTCGGCCCCCAGTGGCCGCCCTCTGCCTCGCCCCGCCTGCCCCGCTGGGGCTCAGTCCGCACCCTGCGTGTGGCTCCTAGCGCGGGGCGGGGTGAAGGGGAGAGTGAGACCCTCTCCTCCCAGACGGTTGCGGGTCAGGAAGGGTGGGGGCCCCGCCTTCTCACCAGTCCCCTCGGTCCAGACCCCAGAGCCCGGGAAGCCCCTTGTCCACACCTGACCCGAAAGAGGCACCTTCTTCGCCCATCGAGGGCAGGCAGCCGGCGCCTGGGAACGAGCGTGCCAGGGCTCTCAGGGGGCGCTGAACGCGAGTGGATCCGGACAGGCCCCCGCAAATGACGGGGTGCAGGCAGCGAAGGGTCCTTGTGTCTCTGTTTCTCACACGCCCCTTTCCTCATCCACACTCCTGTCGTCTTCAACTGACTCCCCTAAGTGGGTTCATCTTGATAGAGGGTTGAGGAAGGGATTGGGTTTTAGAGAAGGTTACAGAATTCAAACATGAGTCCAGCCTCTCAGCAGGTTCCAAGACCCCAGAGGATAGGGCCAGGAATGCAAACCCGGGCATCATCCCTTCCTGGGCTTTCCTTAAGTGCATGATGCCCACACTCAGGCTTACTCTCAGCCTGAACAGGAGAAGATAAAGGTTCTGGTAAGAGCAGATTCAATGTCTACTCAGGAGCACAAGAAAATGGTTCATGGCTGCTTTCCAAAGGAACAGGAAGCTTGCTTCTCTGTCACTCCCGGGGTCCAACCCAGGGGGTGAGGTTGCTGCCCAAATTGGGCCCCCCAGCAGGCCAGTGGTGTGAGGGGGAGTGGCTTTCCCCAGGCATCACAGTCCTGGTGGTCTCTGCCCCCCAGAGCAGGTGGCCCTGGTCATTGGGGGCCTCGCTGGGGGGCTGCTGCCACTCCTGTTGCTCATCTGGGTGAGCTGCTGTCTCTGGAAGAAGCTTCGTGCCACGTTCACCTATGAGGAGCTGCCGGGGAGCACCGCTGCATCCGGCATTCAGGGGGGCAAGCTCTACCCACCACATGCCGGGACCCAGCCAAGCAGGTGAGGCAGGATGTGGGGCCAAGCAAGCTCCTGGCCCTTGCTTAGGGCCCTCCCCGTGGAGTTTCCCTTGGAGTAGGGTGCGAAAGGGAGGTCTGTTTATGGAGCGCCTCCTTGTGCTACAAAGAAACCCCAGAATCATCACTACGAGCTATGGGGCAGGCATGATGGGGCTCATTTTCCAGATAAGGAAAGACATATGTGGCAGGTCCAAGGAGCAGGACTAGTAAGTGCTAGAACAGGCATTAGAGTCCAGGCAGAGTGACTCCAGAAGCAGTGCTCCTTCTGCAAGTCTCCGCTGGCTGCAGACAGACAGGGGTGTTGGCTTGGGGGGGGGGAGGGGCGGAGGGGAGGCCCAGAAAATGGTGCTCTTGCCTCCTCCTGGCTCCCACTGGCTTTTCTTCCTGCAGCCTCTGGCACTCAACCCCTATGGGCTGAGCGCACTGAGGCCACGTTGTTCTCTTGCCGCCAATACGTGTGTCATCTCCCCCCCTCGGAACAGGCCCCCAGGTGTGCCATTCGTGGTGCTCCCTTCCCTCCAAGACCGAGACTGGGTACCCCTACACCGTGGAGAGTGGGCCCAGGCCCCACGGGACCCCCGCCTCGCCCCGGAGCCCATGCGCCACCCCTCCCGCGGCAGCTTTGGTGAGTGCTCCTGCCAGAGCCCGCCTGGGCTCAGGCTCCCTTCAGGCCACGGCGGGCCCATTTGCTTTCAGGGGCCTGGCTCTGGAAAACAGCCTGGACCAGCAGCCCCCCAGCGAGGCCCCCAGTTACCAGGTCTGCTTGTTCTGGGGGCAGAGACCACCAGGACTGTGATGCCTGGGGAAAGCCCACACCGCTGGCCTCCTGAAGGCAGAATTTGGGCAGCAACCCCACCCCCCAGGTTGGACCCCAAGAGTGAACCAGAAGCAAGGCTGTTGCTGGCAGGCGGGTGCCCAGTCTCAGCAGTAAAGCCATTTCCCTTGGGATCCCAGGGCTCTGGGCAGAGTCTTCTGGTTTCCCTTGGAAAGAGTTGCCCAGGGACCACTCCTTCCAGGTACTTGGGTTTACCGAATGCCTGCTGCGCCCCCAGCCTGTGCCAGATACGGCCTCAGGTGCCGTTGTGGAGTTAGACCTCACCATGCCTCTGTGGGGGAAGACATCTTCACCCCATTTTATACATTCATAAACAGAGGCTCAGAAAGTTAACCGTGCCCTGCTCAAGGGCACAGAGGCAGTAAGCAACAGATCTGGGATTGGAACCCAGAACGCTCAGTGGGTTCTGTTCTAGGTTGATAGGTTGGCTGATCCAGAGGGCAGAATGGTAGGAGCTGGGCGCACAGCTTTCTGCCCACCCCTTTGCTCTGAAGACCTCCCAAGATACCTTCCCAGGAACCACCCAATGATCAGCTAGTCCCAGGCATATACCCTTCTAATTTGAAGAGGAAGGAAAGAGACAGCACTTTATCACTGAGACATCTTCTGGACCCCATGGACAGAAGCCAGGCCAGGTGCTGGGCACTGGGTACCCCCCAAGCAGGCCCTGACCCAGGCGCTGGGGTTAAATGAATACTGAACACTCTGCTGGGGGCCTCAGAGCGGAGCAGACCTGGATATGTCATGCCTTAGTGTTGTCAGGCTTCCTGGAGGAGTTGCCCTAGAGAGAGGGGCTGTGCTCAGTCTGGAGAAGGGCATGGGGCGGATGCAGTCAGGAGAGGCCAGTGAACTGCTTGCTGGAGGCTCAGTCAAGAAGAGATGGGTTGGGGCAGGGATGGTGAAGCCCAGAGCTTACTGTCCCCCACGTCCCTGCCTTCCTCTGGCCTGGCAGACCGCCCCACCCCTGTGTTGTAGGAAATGCAGGCATGATGGGGACCATCAACCCAGAGCTATACAAGTTCCTGGAGGACAAGAGTGAGACCGACTTCCCCGAGGGCTGCCTGGGGCGGCTGTGGTTCTCCGTGGAATACCAGCAGGAAGCCGAGCGGCTGCTGGTGGGCTTGATCAAGGCGCAGAGGCTGCAAATCCCCTCGGAGACCTGCAGCCCCCTGGTGAAGCTCCATCTGCTGCCCGACGAGCGGTGCTTCCTCCAGTCCAAGACCAAATGCAAAACCTCCAACCCACAGTTTGATGAGCACTTCATCTTCCAGGTACGACCTCTGGAGCAGACAGGGTCTGGCTTCCAGGGAAAGAGCAGATATTGTGCAGGTGAGCCCCAGCCTCCTGTGACGGCCAGGGCCCTGCAGCCCCCCGAGGCCCCTAGTGCCACCAGCTCTGCTTTACCTGTCTGCCAGGTCAGGGCCTGCAAGAGCCCAGAGCCCTGATGGTGCAGGTAGGGGCGAGACCAGGGAGGTGAGGGGGTAGAGAGCTGGGCTTCCTCTGTCAGGGAGAGAAAGAGAAAACACATTCTTGGAACACCTACTGAATGCCAGGCTCTGGCCCATGGGGCTCTGGAGAAGCAGTCCAAAGCCCTGGATCACTAGGGGGTTTCTGGCAAGGTGATCCCTGGAGCAGGGGCAGGAACTCGCCCAGCCTATCGGAGGCCAGCGCAGGCCCCAGGAGCCATGGTGCTGCAGGTGGTGCCTTGGCTGCCCCGAGGACAGGCAGGCTCAGGGTCTGGAGGTGCAGAGTCTGTCAGGGCACTGAGCCAAGCTCACAGGGGCCTGGGAGCCTGAACAAGTGACTGCGGGCCCCTATGGGAAACCAGCCATCAAGAGCTGCCTTGAGGCCTTAGACAAACATTTTCAAGAGCCGGGCAGCCGGCTGACTGGCCAGGTGAGGAGAGACCACTCAGCATCCGGGAAGAGTGTGATTGCTGAGGCCAGAGCCCTAATTCTTGCCTTCTTCTGGGCCCAAGAGCTGGAGCTGAAAAGAGAGCTGGCATGGGGCCCAGCTCCCGGCACTTTTGCTGAGGGTCAAGGCTGTGGGAATTCACAGGTGACCTTGCTCTTCTCAGGACATGAAGAGCCAAGGCAGTTAGCCGTTCTGCCCAGCGTGGCTGCACGTCATGCTCGCAAACTTACTTCTGTTTACTCATCACTTCCCTGCCCTGTCCCCACCCCAACTTGATCCTAGCCTCTCTGAGCTTTATGGGGGAAGGGGAAGGAGACGAGAAAGAGAAGAAAATCTAGGATGCCTGGGTTTGAGGGCTGCAGGTCCCTGGCTGAGCCACCTCTCACCAAAAGCTCCTGTGTCCAGAACAGCGTGCCACACCCTCCCATCCCCTGTCTCCACGCCCGACCCCAGCCCAGACCCTCATCTCTCCCAGGTATCCAGCAAGAGCATCACACAGAGGGTACTCAGGTTCTCCGTGTACCACGTGGACAGGCAGAGGAAGCACCAGCTCCTGGGCCAGGTGTTCTTCCCCCTGAGAAATGAGACTCTGGCAGGTGACTGCCCGCACGTCATCTGGAGAGACCTGGAGGCCGAGAGCAGGGAGGTAAAGGTCAAGGTCACCCGCCACGTACCGCTGCGTGTCGGACTGCCGTGGGCAGCCGGTAGTGTGGCCCAGCGCCTGCTGGCCGACATCAGCCCAAGCAAGTGTGACTCGGGGTCAGGGGCCTGGGCTGCAGCCGCACGGGACCGGGGGCGGGGTGGAGCTGCTCCTGGGCAAGGAAGGGCCGCCTGAGGTTCTTTTGCCCTGGAGACCAGATTACCTGGAGCAACTTGATTCCCATCCAAACCAGACACCTGTGAAAGGTGACACCCCAAATGGACCAGCCAAGGAAAATACCCTCTCCTCCTGCCCCCGCCTCCGAGAGGACCCAGGTAGCTTGGAAGGCTTTGGAATCCCCTAGACCTGGATTTGAACCCTCAGCTCTGACCCTCACTACTATGTGATCTTCAGCAAGGCCCTTCGACTGTCCAGACCTCAGTTTCCCCATCTGTAAAATGCCGGTGGGCTGAAAAGAGAAACCCTGTACCAGTGCCTGACTGCTGGGAGGAGGGAGGAAGGCTGTCGGGAAGGTCCCATGGCTCCCCCAGCACCTGCTGAGTGACGAGGGTGCTTTCCCCCTGGCCTCTCCAGCCTCCCTCCGAGTTTGGAGACCTGCAGTTCTGCCTCAGCTACAATGACTGCCTGTGTCTCCTGACCGTGGTCGTGCTGCGAGCCAAGGGCCTCCGGCTCCAGAAGGACCCGAGTTTCGTCAGTAAGTTTTCCTTCTCAGGGCAGGCCCTGTCCTGTGAGCCTGGGGCCCGGGGCTGGAGTCTGACCCTTCCCTCTGGCCCTCCAGTTTCTGCCTGCATGTGGCCCACTACGGAGTGCTCACTATCCCCTGTGATGTGGGAAGCCACTTCCTTATACTGAACCCAAGACTGAATCCCTTTGGCCTCCACCAAGACCCCTAACACGCCTGAGACCAAGTCTGCCCCTCCCAAGGCAGTGTCTCGGCTCCTTGAATGGTGCTGTCCTTCTGCCTCCACCTCTGTCCTTCCATGAAGGAGTCCAGTTCCTCCAGGGCTAGGCCCCTTGCCCCACCGCCCCCAGGGAGGGCTCCCTGTACACGAGGCAGGACGCTCGGCTGGAAGAAGACGCGTCCCAGGCCAGCAGGGAGCGCGGTGCCCTGCTTCCTCTGGCCTCCCAGAACCCAGCAGCTGGAGGAGCGGAGCCGAAACGTCCTGCCCTTATGTGCACCCCCCCACCCCCGCAAGGTGGTAGCTATCTGCCGCCTCTGCGTCTCCACATCCGGGTCACTGGAAGCAAATTGTCATTCAACCTTCCACTGTGGATCCAAAACCCATGTGAGCCCCACCCCAAAAAAACTTGGCCCTCTGAAGGAGAAGGGGTTTGAGGGGCCCCAGGGAGCCTGAGCACTCAGCAGGCAGGGCCCCTCCCCACCAACGGGAGGGATGGGCGTGTGGTGTGGTGCCAGGCTCTGGGAAACAAGGGCCAGCCGAGCCGTGGGTGCACTCAGGAGACACAGAGGAAGGAAAAGGAAGGGAGGGAGCCAAGCGTTTCCTCGGGCAGCGTAAGCCCACACACTAATCAACCTGTTTCCTCTTGCAATGCCTTCTGGCCGCAGCAGCTGGGAGAAGGGGGGTGCTGGCGCCCAGGGTGGGCGTGTGCCCTTCCAGCCAGACCTCCCACGGGCCAGAGGCTGGACTCTGCCTGCCGCTCCCAGCCCACGGTCCGCACTGCCCCTTAGGTGTGTTTGTCAAAGTGTCTCTGATGAACCACAACAAGGTTGTCAAGTGCAAGAAGACTTCGGCTGTGCTGGGCTCCGCCAACCCCGTGTACAGCGAGACTTTCAGCTTCAGGGCCGACCCCGTGGAGCTGGACACGGCCAGCCTCAGCCTGACAGTGGTGCAGAGCGCCAGAGGGGAGAGTAAGGCCGCCCCCCCCACCCCCGGGCTGTGGGGGAAACGGGCAAAGGAGGAGCATTCAGGCAGTATGGACCCACAGAGAGAGGTTTCTGCTCTCTGCCTAGGGAAACTAGAACTCAGAGAGGCTGAGATACTCGCCCAAGGACACAGAGCTTGCTAGCAGGAGAGCCGGGATTCACACCCCGCTTTGTTCCAGTTTGATTCTCCGTGGCCCCATACGGAGAGGTTAAAGGGTGGCTTCTGCTACCCACTCTTGGAGCAAGCCACCAGAGAGTTTGGGTGGCGGCCTGGCTGCCGGCCACCAGCCAAGTGACCTGATGCTGAGGGTCGTTGTGTGCCCTACCTTGCCTCATACCTTCCAGACAAAACTTTAGGGTCCTGGGTGAGGTTCAGGGCGGTGACAGGACACCCTGTGTCCACTCGCAGCATCTGGGGGAGCAGGGCCATCGGGCTAGCTGGCCTCATGGACCAGAGCTTCCGGCCCTTCTCCACCATGGCACTTGGTGGGAGAAAATTGTTGAATATTCCCTCTGAACATACAGTGGGCTGATGGAAGAGGGCTTCTTTCTGGAGGGGCCCCTTTCTCCCTCAGCTCTTTGACGTGAAGTTGGCTTAAGAGTGGATGACTCCCAAGGGCTGGCTCTCCCCACCTGGGTGCCCTTCCCCCCCTATGTCCAATTCCAGAGCAAAGCCAAGATCCCTTTGGGGGCTGTCAGCTTGAGCTTAAAGAGGGAGGGGGCCGACTCCGTCCTTTGAGAGGAGGAGTAAGAGAGAGAAAGAGAAGGCCCGAGGTGAGGTGGTTTCTGTGCTCCAGAGAATGATGGTGTTTTTCCCTCCCCCACAGCCAGCCACCAGCTGGGCCGGGTGGTGGTGGGCCCTTACATGTGCACCCGAGGCAGACAACTGGAGCACTGGAATGAGATGCTCAGCAAGCCCAAGGAGCTGGTAAAGTGCTGGCATGCGCTCTGTCCCCCGCCTGAGCCCTGACTCGGCTGGGACCTCCGGTCTGCCTCTGGAGCCTGTCCTCTCCCACGGCAGCCGCAGGCCTGGGCGCTCCGGCCAGCACCCCACTGGGCTGCCAGGCCAGCCCGAGCCGGGGCAGCGTGCGTGCTGATGCACAGGAGAGAAGAGGGGACGAGAGAGCCCCAGCCAGGTCAGCAGCGTGGCTCGCCGCCATCTGCCAGCCTCAGAGACCCTCCCGACTCACTCCATCCTCCTCCACCCGTGGGGCTGCCTGGGCTGCGAATTCCAACCCCTGGTCAGCACAGTCTCCGCTGGACCGGAATCTCAGGCTTTCAGAAGAACGATGCTGGGAGGGGAAGAATGAAGCGGGGGAAATCGGAGGGGTGGACAAACCATGAGAGACGATGGACTCTGAAAAACAAACTGAGGGTTCTAGAGGGGAGGGGGGTGGGAGGATGGGTTAGCCTGGTGGTGGGTATTGAGGAGGGCACATTCTGCATGGAGCACTGGGTGTTATGCACAAACAATGAATCATGGAACACTTCATCTAAAACTAATGATGTAATGTATGGGGATTAACATAAGAATAAAAAAATAAGAATAAAAAAAAGAAGAAGAAGAAGAACGATGCTGTTCCATGATGGCATAGCTGTGTGTGCTGAACAGAGACCCGGGCTCCACCATCCCAGAAAGCTGACGGCAGCTTGGCGCTGGACTCGCACCACGTCTCAGCTGTGGTTTCCCTAACTTTCACCTGGCAGAGAAAACAAACTGCTCTGGGGGCATCATGGGGGGCCGGAGGTGCCCAAAGCACTGATTTTAGCCGGTCCACAATAAATAGCACAGTCTGAAAGTTGGGTTGGGGTTGGGCGTGTTGGTATGGAACAGCCCCCAGACGCCTGGGAGGCACAGCGTGCCCACGGCTCAGGAGAGAAAGCTCTCCGGGATCGAGACCCGCCAGCTTCAGGAGCTGGGAGAGAACACTGGGAGCAGTCCGCCCAGGTACCAAGGGGTGGACAGGTTCTCGGCTCCCGCTCCCTGTGCCAGCTGGGGAGGCCCTCACCTGTGTTGGGTCCCTCCCAGGGCTATGTCACATCCTGCCCATGGCCCATCCTCCCCAGAGCCCAAGCCTCATGCCCCTGGTTTTACTGGTGTTCTACTGGTTTCTGTGGTCTCCCTGGTTGACAGCGTTCAGCTCTTGGGACTCACTTTGGGCAGGGAATAGTGAGAGCATGCGGCCAAAGCGCAGCCCACGGGGCCGAGAGCTTTTCCTGCAAACCTAGTGATTTCGTTAGGGTGACTGTTGTGGCAGGTGTCCGTGTAAAGTTCATTAAGTTGAGAGTTTCCACAAATCACAGTCATCACCTCCCTGTGACATTGTACTCCAGGTAATGAGCCTTCATTGTGCTTGTCACTGTTACTTAACAGGCAGTTTGTATTTTCACCCAAATGCTTTTGAACTTGCAGGGTCAATGCGTTGTGACTGTGTACCTGGAACAAACTTCAAACCAGTCTCTTTTCTTATGCAGTGAAGCAACTTCAGCCAAAGAAAGTAGTGATCGTTATATTTGGTCTGTGCCTCTTTGACTTCACTTCCGATCTCTGTCGATGCACAAAGCCAAGCTTTACCTGGCAGTGGTCCGTAAGACAGAATATCTTGTGTTTGCTTACACACACACATTCCAACAAAGCCCACGCTCCGGTCGTTTATAAGAGCGTCATAGCACACACATCCTCTGTACATTGGTCTAGCAGGCTACTAAACTGGGACGGTTTCCATGTCACCTGGGGCCCCGAGACAAGAGATGCCAACCACCCCCACATTTCAAGGTGACGTTCATGCCTATCAGTGGCCTTTCCAGGGCCACTTGGAAAGGTTGGTAAGTGTCCCCTTTGCAGGACAGAGTCTGACTCACAGCTGAAAAATCTCAATGGCAAGAGACTGACAGGCTCTCTGCTCCGATGGGAAGGAAGAAGGGGTTGCTGTATTGGGCTGAAATGTCTACAGACACGGTCAGAGCAAAAAATACACAAGTGCTTCCAATGCACCAGAGAGAGCTGGCCTGAGTTGTCTCAGTCCTGTCCACCAGGTGATCCCTGCATTTCCACTCTGCATTTCCACAAAGCATTTTAGAATCAGTTTATCAATTACTACACCAAAAAAGTGCTGGAGTTTGACCAGATTTTCTTTGAGTATATAAACCAGTTTGGGAGCCATTTTATATCCCTACAATATTGAATCTTCAATCCATTTACATGTTATATCCCTCCGTTTCCTTTGGTCAATCTCTCTTTACCTCCAGTTTTTAATGGTATTGATATCATTCATCTAAATTCCACATATACCTTACACCTAGCAAGACATTACTATTATTACTGTGTTCAGTCAATATTCATTTATATTCACCCACAGAGTTGCTCTTTCTTTTGCTTTTCATTCTTTCCTGCATTTCTGGGATTCTACCTGAGATCATGTTCCTCCTACTTGAAGAACTCTTTTTAGTATTTCTTTTAGTGCAGATCTGCTCACGGCGCATTTTCTTAGTTTTTGAATAGAAATGTCTATTTCAAATTCATTTTTAAAGGATTTTTTTGTGGAAATAGAATTCTGGGCTGACATTTTCTTTTCTGTCTGCAGTTTAAAAATGGTGTTCATTGTCTTTTTACTTCCATCATTTCTGTTGACAAGTAAGTTATCAATGCTATTGTTTCTCCTTGGAAAGTAATGCATCTCCCTCTCCTTCCCACCCTTAGCTGCTTTTAATATTTTCTCTTAATCTTTGGTTATCAGCAATTTGAGTATGATATACCTTAAGCAATTTTCCTTTTCTTTAGCTTTTTTTTTTTAAAATTTTATTTATTTATTTTGACAGAGAAAGACACAGAGAGAGGGAACACAAGTAGGGGGAGTGGGAGAGGGAGAAGCAGGCTACCCACTGAGCAGGGAGACCGATGCGGGGCTTGATCCCAGAACCCCGGGATCATGACCTGAGCGGAAGGCAGACACTTAACAACTGAGCCACCCAGGCGCCCAGGCAATTTTCCTTTTATTTATCCACCCTGGGAGTAATAAAGCTTCATCAGTTTTGGAAAATTCTCAGCCCATATTTCTTCAGATATGATTTCTGCCCCTTCTTCCTCTCCTCTTCTTCTGAGACTCCAGTCACACACCCGTTAGATCTTCCAGCCAGCTCCCACAGGACTCCTGCGCACGGTGCTGCATTTTCCACTCCCCTTACACCTGTGCTTCAGCTTAGAGTTTTTATACTGCCCTCTTACATTTTACTAAATCTTTCTTCTGCTAAGTCTAATTGTGGCTAACCTATATGCTAAGTCCTTAATTTCAATTACTGCATTTTTCAGTTCTAAATTTCCATTTGATGCTTTGTGATCAATTCCAGTTCTCTGATGAAAGTCTCTGTTTTGTCAATCACACCAATATCTGTGTCATCAGTGGGTCAGTTTTATTGTGTATGTTTTCCCCCTTTGGTCCCGTCACTTGGAATGTTTGACAATATATTGTCTAATGCTGACCATGATGATAAATTATAGTAGCTCCAGGAGACAGCATTCCTCCAGAGAGGGTTTACTATATCCTCTGGTTGACAGAATGGGGAGAGGTCACCTTAATCCAGTCTGGTGATGAACTAACTGGAGTCTGGGTTGCAGGGTTTTTGTTGTTGTTGTTTTTAAAGAGAGGGCACAAGTAGGGGGAGGGCAGAGGGAGAGGGAGAGGCAGGCCCCACTCTCAGCGTGGAGCCCGACTCGGGGCTCAATCCCACAACCCTGAGATCATGACCTGAGCCGAAATCAGGAGGCAGACACTTAACTGACTGAGCCACCCTGGTACCCTTAGGTCGCAGTTTTTGTAACCACTTCTGGTTTTCCCCCATTTTTAGGGTGTAGTCTTCCAAGGATACCATTTGGATCACCAAGTGAGGCTCTGGTATGTTTACTAGGCTTCTCTTCCTTGGTGGGTTCTAAACTCCAATTTTTATCCCCTCAGTGTCATGCTATTGTCAGAAAAAGAAAAGAAAAAGAAAAGCCCTGCCATCTTTCATGGGCTTGCTACAAAAATAATTCACAGCTTCATAATTCAGCGAATGCCTCAAAGGAAAAACCCCTAAGTGTCAGAATTACTCTTCTATCTCCTTTCTATTCAACATCTTGCCTCTTCAGTCCCAGCTGCTTCGGCAACCCCAATCTCCAATTTCTTGTCTCTCCAACTCGACACTCTGCCGCGGCCTTTACTGTCTCTTAGCCATGGCCCTCTGCCCAAAGGGCCAGCCCCTCGATGAGAATCAAGGCATTTCCTGGGCGCCTGGGTGGCTCAGTTGGTTAAGCGACTGCCTTCAGCTCAGGTCATGATCCCAGGGTCCTGGGATCGAGTCCCGCATCGGGCTCCCTGCTCTGCGGGGAGCCTGCTTCTCCCTCTCCCACTCCCCCTGCTTGTGTTCCCTCTCTCGCTGTGTCTCTCTCTGTCAAATAAATAAATAAAATCTTTAAAAAAAAAAAAAAAAGAAGGCATTTCCTGAAGGAAAAAGTGGTTCACAGAATGTCAGCTCCCCTCCTTGTGTTTTCCTTCTTCTGAGATCACGGCCTATCAGCTTGTCAATTTGGCGGCTCTCCAGTAACTTAAAAAGAGGTTTTCTGTATTTTATTCAGCTTTTCTAGTCATCTATCGGCATGAACATCACTCTACCCCACACAGAAAAGTAACATTTTTCTTAGAATTCCCCAAAAAGAATTCTCAGCAAAGACTGATTTTATATAGGGAATTTGATTACACAATCCGTGGGAAGGCGGTGACGCCAAAAGAAGAAAAGTTGCTTCTGTCATCTGTTTTTACAATAATCGCACAAAACAATCACAACGTCTGTGTTGTTCTAAAATGAGCATTTATTTCTCACCCATCTATGGCCAGCTGAGTGTGAGCCCACCTACATTAGGCAAGTCGCTTTCAAGCAGTGGGTCTGGCTGGGTTCAGGTCCGCTCCCTGCTCTGCATTTGTTCATTCTGAGCACAAGCTGAAAGGGCAACAGCTCCCCGGAGGGTGGGGGTGGGGGTGGGGGGGGTTCTTTTCGTGGAGAAGGCAGAAGGGCAAGCACAGCTCTATCTTCTGCTGGTGTTTACTTAATATCTCATTGGCCGAGCCATGTTGTACGGCCAAGTTCAAAATCAAGGGGCAGGGAGGCAAACTATGCCTTTTTATGAGAGGAACTGCAGCCTACGTGGCAGTGGCCATAGCTGCAGGGAGGGGTGGAGAATTGGGGTGGTGATTCAGTGCACTTTACTGATGTGCTCTGGAAATGGGGACCTCCGGGGGCTTGTGTGTGGCTGTGCAGGGCTCTCAGGGTCGGGGAGACCTCCGGACTGGGCATCTGCGGCCAGGCC